ACACAAAATGATTCAATTTATTAAGATAACTCCCACTACCTACCATTACAGCTGATAAAAAGCAAATCAAGTGTAATCCTTTAGATCCATGTAACTATCCAATAAGCACTTAAAATAATTCAAACTTATCTAACAGTAGATATTATATCATTTGGCAAATATTTCAACTATCTTAAAACAAATTTTATTAAAGAACAAGCCTCTATCAAGGATTCCAAACATAAATCTATGTGTTATTTAAATTTATATTTCCAAACTTTTTGTTTTACCATTCAAATTATTCAAAGTGACAATGTCCTAAACCCTACAAATTTGGAACACTTATGTCTTTTCTAACCCCCAAAGCAAATAAATTCAAACCATTATGCATTTACTAGTATTTAAGCATTTACTTAAGTATTTTAAATTATGCATCATTATAGCAGTCCCTATTTGACCTCTTTCCTACATGTTAATATCCTGAAATATATCAATCTTATACAAGATTACAAAAAAATTCTTGCTCTTAAATTTTAAATCCTTATAAGAAAAACTTATAACTGTTAGCTCTTTCCACTTAAGCTAAATTATCAAATAGAAGGCTTGAAGGTTTATTCAATAATCACATCTAAATCCTTTTTTTTCTTCATAAAACAATATTCTAACAAAAAAAGCAGTTCTTTAAAGTTCTCTGCCATAAGTGTATAACTTTACACTTGTCAATATTAAATACTATGACTGTCGAAGTCTTTGTGAATAAATGAAAAATTCTAAATTAAACAGGACCTTCCTAGCATCATAGAATCGTCAGAAATTTGGAAATGTTATTGTCTAAAATGTTATTTAAATTGTTGACATAAACATTGAACAACAACCACCTCACAACTGACATAGAATCCCACAACTTGTATTCTAAAAATCGAAAAAATTACCATTTATCACTATTCTAACCAATTTTATATATACTTCATAATTTTCCCAACAATTACACAAGCATTTACATATTCATTCATTCCTTTGGAAGTCACTGACCAAAAACTTTGTGAAAGTTAACATTTTCCTTTCATAAAAATGTAATTCAGATAGATAAAAATTAACATTTTCCCTTCATAAAAATGTAATTTAAATAGATATTCACCTCTCCACAGAACAATTAGCTTGTGCCTCAGCACTACTGGTGAAAGGATTTTGTGCATGTGCCAAGCCATTGAAAAAGACTCTCACCCCTGCAGCTATTAACATTTACAACATTAGTATATGTTAAAAACAACATCAGACAATATCTTCAACAGAAGGGTAAAATAACTTCCTTACAAAGTACTCACTTTGAACATTTTGTGTAATCTGAAAACGTATTTCCAAACATACTTATCTCCGTTAACACATAGCTATTTATAGATCTTCATCTCTGCTATCTAAACATTGTGTTTGCTCACTTCAGTCTTTATACCCCACTCGACTGCCCTTAGCAATATTTAATTTCCAAAACTTTACACTGGCCCTCTACACAGGTACTGTATATAAGCACTGTATGTCTAGAATATAATAATTTTTTAGACTTACTGCATCCCGGTCATTAACACCGGCTCATGGTGTAGAGAAAGGGTGGGAGAGTGCCAGCAGAGGTAAGTATGTCTGGAAACACATTTTCAGATTAGGAAAATGATGACTTCCAAAAAAATACATACTTCCGCTGACACTTATAGCTAGAATCTCACACTAAGAAGGCGGAGGGGCTTGTGAGGGCATAGTTCGTACAGAAAGCATCTGCATAGAACAAAGGTGTACCATGAGAAGTAATACCCAAGCAGGGAAACTGCACTACATCCAGAAAAGGTGTGCTCCACACCCAGAACTACAGGAAAGTGAAAAGGGTGGAATATTACACAAGTAAGTATGATGGGCCAGCCCCAACCAAACGAGGTTCCATGACTCAGGGCTGGAATTAAGGGGTCATGGTACCCATATCCTCCATTGCTGGCAAGGGCAGTTGGACCAAAAATATATACATATCTTTGTGATAGGATCCCCACCAGCAGCCACGAAATGATTAATTTCGAATAACAGGATTTAGGAGAAGAGGGCGAAGTTGGGGATCCTCCTACCTGGGTCCTTGGAAGTCTTTCACAGATGTCGGTAGGACCAGGACCAACCGGTTTGATGCTTAGCTATCCAGTGGGGGTGTGCTTGGACCCTCTTATGAACACTGTCAGGTCTTAGGTTGTTTATGCAGTGGGTCTACTATCTCCTCGTAAATCCGAGTACAATGCGGTCCCATCTTAGGCCCTTGGTAGAACAGTGTTCCACATCCTCTCCATAATTCCATTGTAAGTGGAATTCTCCTTGCCTACTTGGTTGGAGAGTGAATATGACTGTTCATAAATCTAGATCGGATGAGTTCTGGACCTTGGGTGGAGTATAACATATATGATCCCGTCAATCCAAGATTGGGATGTTGCCTTTTTGGCTTCTTCAGGTTGATCAAACATATTGTCCACTTTGATGTTGCTTTCTTTCAAGCGGAGAGTGGAGATAATTCAACACTCCGAAGGAAAATCCTCTGTCCACTACCCCAGCAACTGAGAACTGGGTGTGGTAAGGACTCCCTAGCTCCATTAGTAGCAGTAGGGGACACATGTGTGCAGTGGGGAGTCCTGAGGAACAGGTCACCAGAAACAGTGCAACAGGTGAACCACAGTCCCTAAGTTTTAAAAGCAAACCGATCTCAACTCACTCAGCTCTAAGATCAGCAGAGACTGGCAAATTACCCTTTAGCGTTACTCATGATAGTCCATGAGTAGTGGTCCATTGAATTTGTATTGTGAGATAATACTACCATCCAGAATTGCTTCTAGATGGTCTCATGGAACACCCCATCTCGACAGAGCCTGTTGCAACAATGAACCGGTATAAAGGTTGC